GCGTCAGAACACACGCGGCTAACGACGAGTGATGAAATAAAGAGTTCATGTGATAAGGATAGAGTAGGGACTTGCCCACAATTCACTTAACACAAGTGCAAAGCAGTTTTCACGTAAGCTACATAAGAACAGAAAAATAGGAATGACTAATACGTATTTTCCCTTCAAAGTCTGAATATAATCATATTATATTACAAGTGAATTTACATGCTTTTCACGTATAATTTCCTTATAGGCTTATGAGATCGACCAAAAACCGTCCCGCGATCGATGCGTTGGACCTGCCTGTTCTAGGGCATAGCGACACGCCTACGCCTTATCCCGAGCTCATAAGTTTCTCCATCACTATCCACACACTGGCCACGTAGTCAGAACATCGCTAGTCGCACAGCAGTCCTCAGAGCTACACACGGTTGCCCGAATCACTAAGTTCAGTAGCCACCCTACCGTGACGGTCCCCATAACAGGCGTATCTTGGCGCTATACGGCAAACCAGTACAGACACCACATACACTAGTCCATAGTTACACTCGCCCTCATTACGCCACACATCAACCCCCGGGCTCTATGTAGCCTCTAGGGTGCTTCCAGCAGTCCAAAATGATAGGTACGGCTGCCGACATCACTAAATTTGCTGTTCAGTAGGCAGTTACAGCTCTCACTACCGGCGTATACCATCAGTACTAGCCCCATCTGGACCACTGTCCAGGAATATAGGTACGGTGTGGCGTCTGCTAATCGCTGTTGATGATGAGGCCCCCAAAGGGGTGGGGGGTTCGCATACCCCTGAAGACACGGCCAAGTGAAGGGTCAAGGGTAAGGATGACAGAGGGGTGTGCCCCCAACTGGAACATAACACACTAACACTTAAACGTATTTCAATCGTTACGTACTACATTTCCAATGTACATAAATATAAGAAAAAGACAAATACAACCAGAATACAAAATGAATTTAAAGTATAGTAAACTGGAGATAATTACTCTGCCAACATATGGGGCTTTAGTTGAGATACATGAGCTTTCCTTAGAATAACACCAGTTTCAGGGTTGGCCACAAGGACCGTCACTGGCGATACAAACTTCGTAATTACGAGGGGTATCGACCACTTGAGATCGAGCGTTGGAGTGACCTGGAACTCAGGGGATGCAATCTGACTAAAACCGAGTCCCCCCTCCCCACGCGAAACTCCCCACCCCTTCTCCCGGCATTGTAACTGGCTGCCACCCTAGCTCGAGCCTTCCTCAAATTAGCGAGGGCAGCCTCCCAGTATTCACTCATACCCTTGGGGTCCTGCTGGAACTCCAGCTCATGAAATTCCCATTTAATGCTCAGGGGATGGTTCATCTCCCTCCCCAAAAATAGGGAAGCCGGAGTCGTTCCCATCGACTCCTGCCACGCAGTATTAAAGGCAATGGCCAACGAGGGCAGATTCTCATCCCAACGGGTGTGTTTGGAATGGTGGTGAGTGGTCAGGCCAGCCTTCAAATTTCTATTAAACCGCTCAACCTGGGAAGCTTGAGGTTAGTAGGGTGAGGTCGTGATGTGCCGAATGCCCCAAGTGAAGCACAAATTATAGAACCGCCGAGATCTGATGATCGCGGCATTGCCAGAAACAATAGACTGGGGGACGCCGAAAGTGGGGAAGAATTTCTCCACGAGGCAGTTTTCCACCACGTGGGACGAAATCTTCCTCACCGGATACATATTCCGTAGTAGTTGTTGCTGGAACTCTGTAAAATATAAGAGGTTTAAACTTGGCGGTGGTCAAGCTTACGACCTTTCAAATGCCTAAGCTGCGTTGTAACATAAGATAATTAAGTTAGGCATGATCGATTCTGTAAAATCTGTAAGAAGAGAATTCTTGTATATAGTGCAAAAGGAATGTTTTTCAATAGCATGCTGTAAGTTTCATACGTTCGCTTGACGAAGGCCAAGCACATTCATAAGAGAGAAATCCACCTTCTTGTCAGAGAGGATGTTACATAAGGACTATTACCGCAAGGGCTTAGTTGGAAAATAAGGTCTCTGGTCAGGAGTCTCGAGGGCTTGACGCCAAAACAAATTCATTGGAAGCCCCAGTCGTAAAGCAACTTTGATTTCGACTTTGAACTGTGTATTAATTTCTGTAGAAGACCACATACAGATATTTATAGATTTGAAAATATTTTATTATATGAATTTGTGCTATCGCCTCCAACAATAAAACTGTCTTTATATTGTCGTTGCTAGGATACTGACTAACTTTGACAATTCTGCTCTTATTAGTATTATGTCGTTGCTAAGATATCTGACCATCGTTTCGGTTCTGGATTCAGGAAAGAGGCAAATTCATCTCGAAATTAATCGAATTAATGTAATTATAAAGTTGTACAAGGATGTAAGTTCTGAGGTTTGTACAAGGTAATTCGTGTGAAGTAATGTGTTATATAGACCCGTTGCTAGTCAAGGACCGCAAGATAAACAAAATTACAAAGCCGTTAGCCGCAAATATTCTTGCCCGGCAACAATTGTACACAAGCAGATGAACAGTGTTTTCTGTGGGGTACGTGCCGAGCTATCAAAAGCAGATGTTATGGAAGCTCAATCGCCTGACTAACTATTGGAGTAGATCTGGGAAGTGTGGATTTTAGCATAGGAGTGAAGAAGTGCCAACCGTGTAAGAACTGATTCCAAAACGGTAAGCAGAGTGAAAGTGTGGTAGACTTAGAAAGTTCGTCTCTCAGAACCATGTAAAATAGCGACAGATATGCTATATTATATATTATTATTATTTATTTAAACTGCCAATTCGATTTTGCCCGGTAGGTGGTTCCGCAGGTCGGCGATCCCATTTACGAAGGAATATCTTCCGATATCTGTCTTTTGCTTTCTGCTCCTAATTTTCCTAACATGATCGAACTTGATCAGATAGCATGGTTTTTGTAATAATAACACCTTAAGTCTTACAAGCCTGTTCTCCCGCGTACGCTTTGAAGAGAGCCAATATGCCTCCTATCTCTTTGCTCTCTGTCAAAATTCCCCAATTTGGAATATTACTATGATGTGCAAATTTAGCCGCTATGTTTTTGGCCTGGTCTGCAGCTATTATCTGTCCATTTCTGTAAGGATTCCAACACGCCGCCCCATTTTCAAGAATCGGTCGTACTTGTGATGTGTAGTCTAACTTCTAGTGTTACGACTTCCCTTTTTAAGAATACGCATTATAAAACGAAGTGCCTTACAAGCATTGTTAACCGTGGAATTAAATTGATTAGCCCAACGTAAATCGCTGCGTAAAATTATTCCCAAGTATTTACAGATGATGTCTTCCGAAATGTATATATATAAACTTAAATGTTCGTTTGTCTCTCCTCGAAGATCTCCAAAAGTTCTTCACCGATTGCTTTGAAATTTTGACACAACGTTGCATTCGAACACGCGCGTGTTTTTATATACCTATTATATAGATGTCACGCCCGTGACAGGTAAAAACAGGTAAAAAACGTTATACGTCTTCCATCGAATACGAACAGATCGTTGCCTAGGAATAACCGTGGCAACGAACTGTTGAAACAGCGGATCGCTGCCTAGGAAAATAAATATCTATATATATGCAATAACTTTCTTTTTTCTTCTTCAGTGCAATCGTTCTGCTTTAGTTCATCCAAATAATGCCTCGCAATAGATAAAACTTAGGTCGTCATANTTGTGTTCGCCTTCAAAGTACTCCCCTTGGGAAGCTATTCACCGATGCCAGCGCCTAGTCCACCCTCAGAAACAATTTTCGAAATTCTTTCTTGACTGGCCTTCAGAGCTGCCATCTTATTACTCCTAAATCGGCTTCCACTCAATGTGTCCTTCGCCTTCAGGAAGAGAACAAATTCATTGTGGGCTAGATCCGGTGAGCAGGGAGGGTGTTCTAGCACAGTTATTTGTTTGCCTGCTAAAAACTCGCTCACAGACCGTGCCGTGTGAGCAGGTAAACTGTCATGATTAAAGATCTATGAGTTGTTGTCAAAAAGTTCGGGTCCTTTCTGCCTAACTATTCTCGCAGCCTTTTCAGTAAATACTGATATGCCATCATCATCAAATCATGCTGAGCAACGAATGCGCAACAATAGGGCGTCCGTTGCTGAGCAGTTGATGTGTTTCTGTGGATGGTCCGTGCCGAGCCTATAAAGGGATCATTGAAGACTGCTCGAAAGGATTTTTAGGAAGACGTCGTTCAAGGCAGTCCAGTAGTTTATATGTTAATTTCGCTGAATGGGGGGGAGGAATCCAACTGTGTCCATTCAGCACGACGGGTACTGATTGGCCTATTGAATATGCCCCGGGTGATTATGATGATGGGGAATTAGGTGGAATGAAGATTGGCAGGAGAAACTGAAGAACTCTGAGAAAGCCTGTCCCAGCGCCACTATGTCCACCACAAATCCCACTTCAACAGACCCGGGATAGAACCCGGGCCGCCGACGTGGGAAGCCAGCGACTAACGGCTCGAGCTATGACGCGGCTTAGTTTATATTTTAGTGTAATAACGGACTGTAGTTATCCAGTAAATCGAGTTATGAAAACCGGAACCCATTATTTACCGACGCGTTAACTTGATGCACGTGACAGCATCAATCGCAAGGTATTGCTCGAATTTCGGCAGATCTGATTCAAGCAGGAGGCGAAACGTTGCGCTCTGAGATCTCAAAACTTATTAATGCTACGTTGACTGAGAAAGAATTGAATGAGCAGTGCAGTATCAGTTTAGAAGATGTGTCGTCCCCAGAATGTAGGTCACAGCTATAACATAGAGATTGTTAATAGATCCTGTGAAATCGCGGCAAGGAACAATTATTTGGGAATCATAGTATCAAATCAAAATTAGATTCATGAGGAAATAAAGAGGAGATTTAATTCGGGTAATTCTTGTTACATTCAATTCAGAACATTTTGACTTGTCGCATAATGAGAAGCATAATTACTTGTACAATTCGCCAGGTATAATTAGATCGAGGAAGTCAAGAAAAATGTCGTCGGCAGATCATGTTGCACAGGTGGAAAAGAAGATGAATGAAGACACTGCTTTGGTGCGGAAATTAGGAGAAAAGAGACATAGACCTATGTGGAAGGATAGCATGAAAATGGTAAGTAAAAAAACATAAAACTGTACGTGTGCTTAATTAGGTAACGAATTGCCATGAAGATATCAAAGGGAGTGGAGCTGTAGCTCCCTCAATCTCGGTCTCGTCACTAGATGGAGATGAGCGGTCAGCTTCACGCCCGTCCGCGCTATCCCCAGGCGACATAGCCTCCGGCATCCACGTGATGGCTCCAGAGCCGGTGTAGATGCTGTACCCCTTTAGCAATGAAACGCCGGCCGTCCAGCTCGTAGCCTGTCGATATACCGACCGAGTTCATGGAGCTGAGCCCTTCTTGAGAAGCCGCAAGTTGCGAAGTTACTCAAGATTTTCCCAGCAGTTTCTCTTCCGTGCTCACAAGAGCCCTCTACTGGTCCCTATCCAGGGCCAGATCGATCTGGTACATAAGAACTCAACCTATCTCTCTATGATCCATATTTATACGAGGGAGGGCGAGTGAGTAAAGGGGTCACAAATGGACATAAGACATAAAATACATGATAATCCACCATGGGTTAAATATTTATTTCTACATATTGTCCACACATATTGATACACTTCTCACATCGCTTTATCAGTGTGCCGAAACCCGCAGCAAATAGAAGTCCTTTGACTGTGTTTTGTCGGTGGTGCTTCTCTGGCACGGAAGGGAGTGGTACCCATGGGCGCAATTTCCCGCCGAATATTAATTTATAGTTTATATAAGAATGGTGCCCATATCTCAGTGTGTATAGTTCAGAAGCAAGAAGAAATTGATCGTTATTTGCTTAGGTGAATTATGTCATATACAAAGCTGTCTTACACAAGGAAAATAGTTCGAATCATTAATAATTCTTTTCTTGTTACCGAAATTATATTGAATATATTAATGGAAGGGTAATGCAGTATAGCAATGGATGCGAAAGTATCGGGCCACCAAACCATAGTTCCATAAATTCATCCCCAGTGCCCCCAGCCCCAACCTACAAAAAATCTTTTTCAGAATAGCTGTTTGCACCATCCACTAAGGAAGATAACAAACTAAGATATGAGATTTAGCAACTACATGGGATGGTATGGATTAGATTGATCTGGCTCAGGATAGGGACTAGAGGAGGCTCTTGTGAACACGGTAATGAACCTTCGGGTTCCATAAAATGCTGGGAAATTCTTCAGTAGCTGCAGAATTGGCGGCTCCTCCAGAAGGACTCAGCTCCTTGAGTAAGTAAGTAAGTAAGTAAGTAAGTAAGTTCGCTGTTACTAAATTTTAAATCATATGTATGGGCTTGATGAAGTGCTACCAGTTTCTCCGTGTGTGACGTGAAGTCACTTCAAACGAAAATAAGCAAACATGGCGATAGGACGGGCTCACTTCCTGCGCCCCTCGCCTCTTAGCGCCACACCTTAGTTAATCCCACGGCCACCCACGGGGTGGTTTGGCCCACATTGGGAACCATTGTTTTAGTGTTATTCGTGAAGCTTTGTGTTCGAACCTCGGTTCTGAAATCGGCTGTGCCAACGTTTTTCATAATATTGTCCAGTTCCTTTGGGGAAATGCCGGGAGAGCGCGGTTAGACGAGAATCGTTTCCTTCCAGATCCTTCCCACTTCATCATTCATTTATCACCGTACCGTTTTACGATATATTAATTTCGGTGCTGCTTCAGCACTGAATTAGATAACACGTGGAAATTACTGTTCAGTATGTTGTAACAAAATTCGTGTCTCCTTTAAATGACGAAATGCAAATTGAGATACAAATTTCTTTGTACACTTGCCTGGTTGAAGAGTAAAAGGGCATCTGTGGGCGCCCACCTTTCCCGACAGGCCGATAGACAGGCTTCTAACATTGGAGGGATACCGCATTTCGCCGAATCACTTATATGTGATTATATATATATGATGTGACTATATATATATATATATAGTCACATCAGTGAAATGTGTACAGCATTACATTTTTCGTGGGTTATTTCATAACTCCTATATATGAGGTAATGTCCGGATTCGTTGGCCACTGATGTAAATGTAAGTGAAGTTTTGCCTAAGTTTCATTAGTTAAAAACTACGCCATGAAAACATGTGAGGGAGTGGAGGTATAACTCCATCTTTCTGTGACCTAAGAACTAGATGGAGGTGAGTGGGCAGCTTCACGTTCCCTCCGCTTTGCTCCCGCAGAGAGTGTCGGTACCCATTTGTCTGGGAGACTGGGTCGGCCCCCAGGGTCGGTCTGGACACTGGAGAAGAGAATAATCTGGCCCTGTCGGTACCGAACGCGGGCCTTCCAGCCCAATGTCCGGTGCCATACTAGCTTAACTATCCAGAATAGTAGACCGCTAATGTATGTTGTGAATTTATTTACAGGGCGAAGTTGTAAAGCACATAACTGAAACTGTTCCTGTGAACGTGCAGTTCGAATTTGTGCAAACAGGTGCTTCTTGGTCAGGTGAAGCTCACAAGGCAGATGAAGGTGAGGCCTGCGCGGACACTAAATTAGGTCGAGATGCAGCATCACCTCTCCAGAAAGAATTGCGAAGTGTGACGGGGTATCAAAGGATTATAACAAGTGACGAAGACACACGTGAACACCTATTGTTGAAGGAGTGGCAAGATGCTGCCCAAGAGGAATGCAACAATCAATTTGTTAATGAAGCTGCAATTCGAGTAGATGAAGAATCACCGGTATGTGAACTAGGGGCCTCGAGTTCCGCAGGACGGTGCGTGAGAGGTGATGCAACGGCCATTACGCGGGGCAGGCACACCCTAAATCTTGAAGAAATTCTAGACCAGTGCAAGGATGCTGCAGCACTGAGAGAGCAGCTGGTAAACGTCATAAGAGAGAGAGATGCTTTTCTATTGAAAGCTGAATGCTATGCAACAATTTCAGAGGCCGTAGAGAAGCAGAGGGACCACCTGAAATTTGAACTAGAAACTGTCAGGGCTCAGAATGACACCCAGAAACTTGAACTAGAAAATTTTCGAGCTCAGTATGAGGAGAATTTATCGGTACTAAAAGACGAGGTACGCATTTTAAAAACGCAGCGAAACCACTTAAAAGAGGGGCAAGACGTTGTAATACTAAGAGAGCAACGCACAACCGATGATTTGGTTGTCGTGAAGAAGATGAGAGACTCCCTGAATCTTGGACCAGAAAATGTCCGAGCTCAGAATGACGCCCAGAATCTTGAATTAGAAAATGTTAGAACTCAGAATGACGCACAGAAATTTGAACTAGAAAATGTCAGAACTCAGAATGACGTCCTGAAACTGGAACTAGCAAATATCCGAGCTCAAAATGGCGCCCAGAACCTTGAACTAGAAAATGTCAGGGCTCAGAATGACGTCCTGAAACTGGAACTAGCAAATATCCGAGCTCAAAATGGCGCCCAGAACCTTGAACTAGAAAATGTCAGGGCTCAGAATGACGTCCTGAAACTGGAACTAGCAAATATCCGAGCTCAAAATGGCGCCCAGAACCTTGAACTAGAAAATGTCAGGGCTCAGAATGACGTCCTGAAACTGGAACTAGCAAATATCCGAGCTCAAAATGGCGCCCAGAACCTTGAACTAGAAAATGTCAGGGCTCAGAATGACGTCCTGAAACTGGAACTAGCAAATATCCGAGCTCAAAATGGCGCCCAGAACCTTGAACTAGAAAATGTCAGGGCTCAGAATGACGCCCAAAAACACGAACTAGCAAATTTGCGAGCTCAGTATCAGGAGGACGTCTCACTTCTGAAAGAAGACGTGTGCTTTTTAAGAACGCAGCGGGAACAGTTTATAGACGGGCAAGACGCTCTAATATTAAGAGCGCAACGCACAGCTGACGACTTGGAGGCCACGAAGAAGATGAGGGACTCCCTCAAACTTCAACATGAAAATTTTAGAGCTCACTGTGAGTGTGAAGTTACCCGATTGCATGACCTCTTGCACAGTGCAAATGCCAAGATCGACCGGTTTATGTGCGAGCGACAGGTTTTAATTGCTAGAGCGAAACGCGCAGAAGAGGACTTGCAGGTCCTGAAGATGCGGTTGAAAAATAAGCGAGACCAGTGTAATGACTCTGCCTTACTGGAGAAGCAATTGAAGGATGTAAGAGAGGAAGTCAAGAAGATCACGAAGGAGAGAAACTCCTATATTTTGAAAGTGCAACGTATTTCACGGAACAAAACGGAGATAGAAAAGGAGAGGGACTCTCTGAGACGTGAATCAGAAAAATGCCGTTGCCAGTGTAAGGACGTTGAGGCGAAGGAAATGAAATTAAATGCTCTAACTGCGATTTGCGAGAAGATGAAGAGAGAGAACAGACTGCAAGCAAAACGTACAGGAGCGATAATTGATGACTTAAAGCGGGAGAGGGACGCTTTAAAATGCGAAACAGAAAAATTCCGACGCCAGTGTAACGGCCTTGGCATGATGAAAGTGCATTTGAACAATATGAGATCCGAAAGCGACAAGATCAGAAGAGAGAGAGACGCTATGAAGAAGGATATGGACGTCGTGAGACTTGAAATCCAAAATCTCCGAGGCCAAATTAAGGACGCCGCAGTACTTGAAGTGCAGTTAAACGTTGTAAGAGCGGAATGCAACGAAATGAAAAGACAGAGAGACGCTTTTATGTTAGAAGCCGAACGCAGAGCATGGAAAATAGAGGCCACAGAGGATAGAAGGAAGGAAGCTGAAAGCAGAACAACCCGGATTCCTCGTTGGCACACTATTCTAACGAGAAAATGAGGGCGACATATTCCTTGGAAACGTCGGTTGAGTTTGACCGTGTCTGTATCTTAGCAGACATATCCTGCGAATCAGAATCGCATCTGCCGCAACTACTTTGTGTGCTATCACAATGACAAGGGGAGGAATGCGCCCTTATACTTTCGAGCAGTTAACAGATATAACATACTGCTCCTTCTTCAGTATTAACTCTGTACACTTGCTCTTTTTGGGTCCCAATTGACAGCTTCACACCAAAAGAGGCTGGCCGACTGACCGACGGTCGTGACACATAACCTTGAATTTAGCAGACTTCGGTCGGTATATTGAAATGTAGTCATGAGCCCCGGGACTCGGAACCAAGAATGCTGTCGAAGATCAAGTTACCAGACCGAAACCTGGTTGTTAGTTTCCGAGTTCCAAACGAGCAGTGGACGTGGCTGTGAATAACCTTGATTGTTAGCAGCCTCCGCCTAGCAATGACTATTGATCTATACATTGTGTAAATTAGTGATAGTGCTATAACAGTTTGTATTTAGGAGGTAGAAATGTTTAATAAATACAATTATCAGTGCAAAACTTGTGTCTTTTCACTTACGCGCCGCATTAAGTATGCAATATTCATGCAGCCAATGAAATGTATACACGGAATTTAAATTATTTTTTAGACTATGGCCGAACAGGCACAGTATTATTTTTGTGGTATAACCGATTACTACTCCTTAGTGACATACGTATTTCTCCAAATTTGTGTACACAAATATTTAGCGGGTAATTATTGTACTTCTCTTAGCTTTAATTATTGTCATATTTACTGTAATGAATTATATTACTATGTATCACATTGTTCGGTAAGCTATACGTTGAGTAGAGTGTTGCGCAATATGGCGTAACTTCATGTGAAGTCTTATACACGTAATTCTGTATTTCAGCATCCTGTTGCAATTGTTTAACCTAACGTCCATGTATTTATCGTCCGTCAATATTGCAACACTTCTATATGTATAATACAGACTCCGTCCTAAATGCAACATTTTATTGTAGTTCTTGTCCCCGTTCTTTTACACTACATGTTTCGGCCACAACCGGCCATCATCAGGTGTATTTCACTTCACGTAGCTGTCACACTGCACTCAGTATTAACATTTAAACTCCAGAATTACAATTGTTCATTGCTCTGTCGTCAATCGGCATAAACATAATTGACAAAACCGACAAGAAGAGTTCTGAAATATCGGGTGCCGATTGACGACATCTAGTGTTGATTGTTTTCATGGCATACTTTTCTGATCGTACCGGAACTGTCCGCAATGCAGTAGGCCTTGGAACGGAATCAAGATCCTGTCTGTCATTCAGAATTCTTAGCTTTGAGGAGACAGTTAATAAAACCTTGATGTGACGGCTTTCGATTTGCCATGTAGTTGACTCTCGTGCAGCCATCTGACCCAATTTACATAATTCACGTAGCATAGAACCGCATCAGACAAAATGGCAATAAAACAAACGCAGCTCGCCACGAGATCTGTATCAACTTTCTCTAACACAGGCAGCAAGACGCGAGATCCAGTACGCTAGAAGCTGAGAGAAAGAGTGAGCTATGTCTGTAATAACAGTCTTTAACGCTTTCAAAGAGAGATCAAATTATTCCAAGCGGTAATGTTTGTAAGCTGTGTTCGACAGGTGCACGGTTCGAATCTCAACAGGACGCCTACTTCCCTTTGAGATTATTCGTAATTTTCCTCAGTATTTTCAGCCAGATTCCATGGTAAAAGTAAAGTTGACCTCGGCACTAATTGGAGGTAATTGGTCAGCTTCACGTCCCGTCCGCTTTACCCTCGGGGAAAGAACCCCCCGTACCCATTGGACAGGAGGCTGGGTGGGCCCCAGAACTGGTTTGGATGACGTGGAGAAGAGAAAATTCTTGACTCTACCCCTACCGGGACTCGAACGCCGACCCTTCGGTCGTCCAGGCCGTAGCTAGTCGCTATACCGACTGCGCTATGCAATAATGCTACGAGAAGATATACACTATATATAATGGACAATCAAATGAAAACGGGTCACCATGCATAACTCACACGGCGCGCAAGTTGGTAACACTGGAATTTGCTTACGGTACGAACATCTGGAGGGGACTCGGGAAAGCACAGTGACAACGTGCCCTTACACACTAGTCGTTTGTATATTGTGCTGGAAGTAAGGTTAGCGCTACGTGTGTCGTCCAACATCAGTAATGATGCCGGGTAAAGAAGAACAGCAAAGTGTATTGCGCTCTTTGACTGCTGAAGAAGTAGGAGGACGAGAAATTCATCGTCGCATGTTTGTTGTTTACGGCGAACACAGCATGTCACGTTCGCTTGTGCTGGCGTGGCATAAGAGATTCCGAGAGGAACGTGTGTCACTGCAAGATGATGCTCGCCCAGGACGGGCTCATCATGTCATCACTCCTGATGTTATTGCTGCCTTGGATGGTCATATCCGGGCAAACCGACGGATCACTGTGGAAGAAATTAGTCTTCTGATGGGAATAAGTCACGGTTCCGTACACGCCATTGTGACAAAACACCTGATGTGCCGCAAAATCTGTGCGCGGTGGGTTCCACATCAACTCACGGAGGAACGGAAGACTCAGAGAATGGCTGCATCACTGGGTCACTTGCAACGATACCATGAGGAAGAGTATGCTTTTCTGTCCCGTATTGCCACTGGGGACGAAACTTGGTGCCACCATTTTGAATCCAAGAGCAAACGGCAGAGCCAACAATGGAAACACGTGAATTCTCTCCCACCGAAGAAATCCAAAGCCGTACACACAAGTTCAAGTAAAGTGATGATGACGTTCTTCTTCAACTGCAAGGGCCCTCTGCTTGTCNAGAGAGACATTCGTGGACATCGGTTTGCATCGGACGAAGACGTGTGTGGCTGGGTAAAGATGTGGTTCCGTAGACAGCCCACAAGCTTTTTCAAGGATGGAATTGACCGTCTTATCTCCCAGTGGCATAAATGTATTAACAGTGTTGGAGATTATTTTTGAGGTAAGAAATGTTTTTTAATATGTTTCGGCTTCTGATCCGTTTTCATTTGACTGCCCCTCATATATAAATTAATCCTGAGTACAATTAATATTGTGGTATGTAGATTCATTGTTAGTCAATGACCGCGAAATAAGCAATTATACAACATACGTTGTTAGGCAACGGCTCCGCAAACAGACACGAACGCAACAATTATACTTCAATGGAAGAATGGTGTTTTATACGCAGTCCGTGCCGAGATGTTACAAGGAGGACAAGTTAGGAGCTAGGAGTTAGTTGGTTAGTGAGTGAGTGATTCAATTAGATAACCTCTGGGCTTCAGTTGTGAGCCGTTACTGTCAGAAGCTGGTAGCTGAGACCAGGGACAGTTCGGGGACCCAGAGGAAGGGGAACGTCCGCCGTTGGGATCTGCTACCAACAACGTGTAGTGAAGACCGTAACAAACTGAGAAGGCCTAGCGTGTAGAAAAGCGAGAGCATAATCTTTACTTGTAGTTACGAATTGTAATAGCGGCCTCCGTAGTCTAGGGGTGACGTTCCCACCTCATGACTCAAGGTACGCGGGTTCAAACCCGGCGGAGGTCGTGGAATGTTTAAGGGCGGAAAAATTCAGGGAACAAGTCCTCCGGGAGGGACTTTAAGCTGTGGGTCCCGTGTCGTAGCTTTACGGCACGTAAAAGAACCTCATGTCTCAAGAAGGCCTCTGAGCCAAATTTATAAGGACATTTCCCGCCCAACAATAGTCTCTAACGCCTCTGGTAGAGGGGGGAAGCATCTAGATACCGCTGAGCCAGTAGAGGCCGAACTCGCTGGCTGAGTCGGGACTGATGGCACGCACCAATACCGGTAGGGTATAGAGACTGGTAGAATATCACAGGGGAAACTCACCCCCTCCAATAATAATAATAATAATACGAATTGTAATACACTAGTTTCTTCTTCGAATTCCCGCTACTGCATTTCACTTCTGTGAACCATGACTCTAAATTAGGAACCACACAATTAATAGCTACTAAGTTGCAAGTGTCCTAAAGCAATTCCCTTCATGAAGTGCACTATCTCGCCGAGCTGCCCCTTTCAGAGTCAACTGACGTTTCGGAGGAACAGATCGCCTTTATCTTCAGTGGCTCTGTTTGCCACCTGCTTTCACTCTGGTTTCTTGCTCGGATTATTCTTCGATCCTGAAGATGGAGGCGATACGTTCCTCCGAAACGTCAGTTGACTTTCAACGGATTACACTACGTTATATCCCAGAAAACAGAACTCTTCATAAGCACCGGTGTAAGAACTTTATATCCTACACTAGTCATCTTATTAGTCCGCTCGGTGAACACAACAATATTATCTCTGGCCGCGACAAGACTGCCGCTGGGCTCTCTTAACGGCTAATTCGGCAAAAGAGACAGAACTGCATCGACACAATGACGACGTTCCCTCAAGTGTTGGAGAAAAGCCCACCATAACAATTTTATTTCTCATATTTTGTTGTGTAAATCACTAGAGATAACGTATTTGTGACATTCCTGTCAACACAAGGCTATTTCCATCAGCTGGAGTCTGCTTGTCCTAGACGGAAAATTCCGCCGATCACAGTGGCCGCGCGGTCTAAGGCATGAATCGTCCTTGTCCGCTCGAACGCCGGGATCATGGGTTCGAATCCAACTCGAGGTATGTGTGTCTGTATGCGTTTATTCTATGTTTGTGTTGTTCTGTGTGTAGGTAGACGCCTTGCGACAGGCTGATCCCCCTTCCAAGGAGTCCTACCGACTGTACAGGATTAAGAAACTGAAAAACGGTAAAGGTCCGAAAGGATGTAGAGCGACAGAGAGAGAGACCGAAAATTCCGCCTGCTGGAAATAGTGTTGTGTTGACAGGAATATACACGTAATGTCTGCTCTAGTCCCGAAGTAGTAAATTCTGTGTCAGCGAGAATGAGAGGATCAAAAAAAGGAGCATTTATGACAAGGGTTGTTTAAGCTGAAACAAATCGAAAGACATTTATTTGTGAAGATTCCTTGTATTATGTATTAATTACTATATGTTTCGGGCTTAGTGGCCGTCCACAGTTATATACAATTATTATCTAAGCAGGTATAACGACGAGCTGGACGACAGAGATTCGAATCCCGGTAGGGGAAATATTTTATCTCTTCTCCACAGCTTCCGGACCTACTCTGGGACTAACACAGCCTCATATCCAATGCGTAAGGGCGACTTCTTCGGGGGTTAAGCGGCTGAGGCATACAGCTGACCGCTCAGCTCCATCTAGCGTGGAGGTCGAGAATGGTGGTTTTATACCTCCACTCCCCAGAAGTTCTCCATGTCATAGTGCTTAATTAATTAAACACAGGGATAGTTTTACGTTTTTTTATTTACCCTTTTTCGTCTGTTAGTCTGTAGTGCCAACATACATTTTAACAAAGCTTGTCACAAAGAAAATTTAAAACCAAAATATGTAGACTAAACAAAAAAATATTCCAGCAACAATGCAGCCCTAAGCAAAAGAAAAAATACACGGACCGTAAGGATAAAACTGTATATACCTGATAATTGCCAATAAGGCCGAAACATTTAGCGATTAACACAAGGCCTATAATAAATCTATACAAACATTTGTATCTACGGAACAAAAATAAAATGGACTCACGCACAATAAGACGCTACAGTACAATATATTTAGTAACAGAAGCCGAAATAATTTCTACTAAGAACGTATCTCTCGAGATGTACAATTGTGATATGACGCCGGAAGCCGGAATAACGAAATTAGAATAGACGTTCATTCCTAGGCAACGACTCTGCAAACATATTTCAGCGGTAAAGAATAAACAAGTAAAAATCGAGTAACTTCCGCTACTATGCAACGGCGTTTTAAACACGCCTTCCCAACGATAGAGAAGTTGTGTGGTCCGTGCAAAGTAGTCATAAATAGGAGTTCAGTTCAGAAGTGTTAGTCGCGTTTCGAGACGCCAGTACCCCAGGGCATGAGTTGGCAGCTGCAGAAGAATGGCAAGAAATGAATTAGGCTATGACAAGAAGGTTTCATTTGTGATATGAATTGACAGCGAGACTCTTATAAATCCGTTGCCAGGATGCGACTAGTGAAGACTGGGAAACCTAGTGTGTGTGTGTGTGTGTGTGTGTGTGTGTATGTGTGTAACGGTGAACTGTGAAGTGTGTAAAATAGCGATAACGATGTATTGCCTGTAGTCCCGAGCTGGATTTATAAGGTATCAATAAATCCAATCATCCAATGCAAAACCCCCTTATAGTCACCTCTACACGTGACAGAATAATTCAGTTTGTTGTATACATCTGGATTGAGCATCACTGAATATATGTACATAACAGCATATATGTACTCGTATGTGTCACGTATTATTTTATTCCGCGTGCGGCATGAGACTCGTTGGCTGCGGGTTGTCTATCACTGATTTGGACTATGCAGCCTCGAATGGTAGGGTAAATGATGAATGGTGAACTGGAAACAATCTGAAAGGAAGAGGTAATGGCCTAATCGATTTACTATCCCGAAATTTGCCTGTAGGGACTGAGGAAACACACCATTTTAAGAAAGAAACTAGCGGAAACAAACATTTTACATTGTGTCAATGTTGCATAACGCTTCATGGGAGAAGCTGGTTAGGTCACTCTTTACCTAACATGTCTGTGACATGAGCTATTGGCTACATGGATATTATTATCATCCTGGTAATCATACAACAACCGGGCATTTTGCTGCCAGACTTCACGTAGCCAGTTTTCCGTAATTTCTGAATGGAATGTTGTCGAGTCGGTCTGTTTCCCTCGCGTTGCTCTCGCAACGGTGGACCACAGAGCGAGCAGACTCCTACGTATTTAGTGCTTATTTAACGACACTGTCAGTAGCTCAGGTTATATAGCGCCGAATGGTACTATTTTTTTTTCATTTTTTTTTTATTGTTAGTGGGGTGGGACTAAGTCCCTTGTACTGCGGCCACTTCTGGCCTATTGTACCAGCCTCAGGTGATAGGTCAGGGTGATTGTGGAGCAATTGGCGGAATGAAGATTGGCAAGGGAAACCGAAGTACTCAGAGAAAACCTGCCCCAGCGTCACTTTGTCCACCACAAATCCCACTTGACCAGACCCGGGATCGAACCCGGGCCGCCGCGATGGGAAACCAGTGACTAATCGCTTGAACTGTGGCGCGGCCTGGTACGATTGTTAGTGAATAATGAATTATAAGTGGCATGGAAGCTGTCATAGGCTGTGGTCCTGAGTTCGACTCAGTCTCTAACAGAAATGAGTACCAGGAATATTCCTGGAGGTAAAGGGCAACCGGCGCGTAAGGCTGACAACTTCAACGCTATCTGTGACCCGATTGTCTAGAAAATATGGGAGCCTCGACGTTTCGAGGAAGCGATGATAGGCACTACTTCGATATTTGTCTGGAGAGGCCGGGGAGAACCACTATAACCTCAGTCAAGATATCCGGTCTCCGGGGCAAGTTTTGAACCCGAGATGTCTTGAATACGAAGAATTATATGTGTCATTTTCGTCATTCGGCAGAATAGTGAGTATATCTTTCACCAAGATAGCCCACTGATAAGTTCCGAGCTTGTTTTTACAGAAAGTGACAGAACTTCTTTACTTTTAAAAAATGCGTTTCATTTGATCTTGATATGTTTAGGATCGTTCAGTGAATGGTAGGAAACTTACGCCCATCGCAGATGGTCTGAAACGTGTGCTGACAAAGAAGTCTGGTTTTACACTCAACTTCATGATAATCCAACAGTTTATTCGACAGATAGTAGTTTGAAATAAGCAGTCAGATGCAGAGATGAAAGTTGTGGAGTCGCTTTCCTTAAGAAATGCACAAATATTATAACAATTCTGGGGACACTCCATCTAAATTGTTTAATTATTTCGAAAGCTATGAGACTCGTGGAACGGAGGAAACGTGTATTTTACATAAAATTTGTGCGTATTCCATTCTTGTCTACAAATTTGTTCGAAACATTTTTTATCCGATAAATATTTAGCAATTTACGTTCGAAATATATTCAGAAACGCACGTAGGACGTCATGTGAAATGCCCGTTATTTTTGTCCGATTTTAATCAAAACTCGAACGAGCTGTCAAAGTTCATTCTCTGTCCTAAAATATCTGAGGTTATGTGATACCTTGAGCGGTGAACCTCGCTGTCTCCGGTATGATTACTTTGGTTCCCGTCGTACCTTGATGCTGCAACGTCGGTATCACTGTCTGCTGGTGACGCACTCCCACAGTTTGTACACATATTTATTTCCGTCTTGATACACAAAACTGTTTACTACATGTTTCGGCCTTTCGGCCATCATGTACAATTAGTATGTATGTTTGTAAGGGGTGGGCCATAGAAACCGGCCCCCGCACTGCGACCTCCGATGATCTATCGTGCTTTCCCTTGGATTAGCCCTTCATTAATCCTACTCTTTTAATAAAGTGTAGGACCCTGCTTATGGGAGCGTCATAAAAGTCACTTGGTTCCATAAAAAAACTGACCCAAGTGACGAAATCTTAAATAAGCTATGGCCTCACAATCACACAGGATGTGTGCGGCTGATTCGTTTTCTTGTAGGCACCTTCTGTCAGTCCCAACTTGAAAAGTTGCCCCTTTAGGTGGCAGTGTCCAGTAAGTAATCCTACCACTATCTTAGTTGATCTCTGTTTAATCTCAACAGATCCTTCGTTCTTCTGGCCGAGGGCCTGATATAAAACCCTTTGCCTGTTTGAGTCCAATCATGTACAGTAAGTAGATAATTAACTAATTGTGACATGACGTTAGAAAGCAGGAATACTGGAGAGAGAGCAAAAGCTCATTGCTAGGCATCGGCTCGGTGAAAACATTCCCAGGGCAACGAATAAGCAAGCAACAATGGAAAAACTACCGTTTCTATGCAACCGAGAGGCAAACACATCTCTGTGACAACAGACGAATTGTTAGGATACGGTATTTTCTGTGTGGCTCGTGCCGAGATCTTATGAGCAGGGCAGTTTGGAGTTCCAAGTCAGTTGCTGTCAGGAGAATGAGCAGGACAGTTTGGGGTTCCAAGTCAGTTGCTGTCAGGAGAATGAGCAGGACAGTTTGGAGTTCCAAGTCAGTTGCTGTCAGGAGAATGAGCAGGACAGTTTGGGGTTCCAAGTCAGTTGCTGTCAGGAGAATGAGCAGGACAGTTTGGAGTTCCAAGTCAGTTGCTGTCAGGAGAATGAGCAGGACAGTTTGGGGTTCCAAGTCAGTTGCTGTCAGGAGAATGAGCAGGACAGTTTGGAGTTCCAAGTCAGTTGCTGTCAGGAGAATTTGGTTGAGTTTCAGAGTTGGCAGTTGACAGAATAATTGAGAAGTAATGACAAAATGGGTATTATGCTGTGGAAAGAAGACAGTGGGACTGCTATAAATCCATTGCCAGAATACAACTAGTGTAGACTGAGAACACTAGCGCGTGTATAACAGGAAACTGTGAAGTATGTAGATGATCGATAGCGCTGTAGTGCCTTCACTTCCGAGTGGTGTGTATAAGGTGTCAATAAAGCACCATCTCTAATCACAAACCTTAAATCATGACAGTATAATAGGTAAAGTTGTCCCTGTGCTTAACAAATTAAGCACTACGCCATGATGGTGTATGGGGGAGTGCATGTATAGATGTATCATCATCATCAGTAATCTGTCAAGATGACAGGTCCACAGTCTCTTTCAAAACAATTCCTCCACTTAATGCGATCTAGAGCTTTCTCCTTCAAATGACAGTATCCTCTTCTGTCCCCAAGGTCATCCAGCATCTTCTTACGTCTTCTTCCTCGTCTTCTTGTCACTTCTATCCGCCCATCTATCTTTCCTTCGATAGCTTCTTTTAGAAGGCAGTTTCTGCGTAAAACATGACCAATCCAATTAGCCTTCCGTTTTCTTATTTCATGTAGGATATTCCTCTGCTCACTGACTCTAATTAACACTTCTTCATTTCTCACATAATCGGTCCAACTGATCTTCTCCATTCTTCTCCAACACCACATTTCGAAACTTTCCAGATGTTTCTGATCTACTGCCCTAAGTGTCCATGTTTCAGCCCCATACAGAGCTATGCTCCAAATGTAGCATTTCACTAGTTTCTTCCTCAAATTTAAGTCCAATTTGCTGGTAAAAAGATTCTTCTTCTTGCTAAATGCAGCTTTTGCCATGGCAATCCTGGATTTAATTTCACAAGTACACCTTCCATCATCTGTTAACAAGCTACCCAAATATTTAAAACATTTCACATTCTCCACTTGTTTTTGGTCTATCTTTATTGTGACTGGGGTTGGTTGTCTCGAAATTTTCATTACTTTTGTTTTCTCCACATTCATTTCCATGCCATAGATCCACATTTTCTTGACCTCGGCACCAGTTGGAGCTGAGTTGTCAGCTTCACACCCCGGTCGCTTTATCCCCGGGAATGAGCCCCTGGTACCCATTGGATAGGAGGCTAAGTGGGCCCCAGAGCCGGTCTGAACCCTGTTGAGTAGAGTAGAATATCTTGCACCTACCAGGTATTGAACCCTGATCTTCCAGCCTGTAGCACGCCGCTGTACTGGCGGAGCTGGGAACTCCCGAATGTTAAATTTTAAGAGAATCCCTTCGGCGGTTTTCGAGTTGTTAACACGTGGACGGACAGTCAAGCATGGCAGAGCAACTGCTCGTTGATATCTCTGGAGAGATAACAGAAACATTAGCTCTGTCCTACCACTGAACTTGTAGGCCCCTAATGTTTATGAATAGCGTCACTGCTGAAGTAATGCTGCGCGCTGCTGACACAAGCATCTGGCTGACCTCGGGGCGCGGTAATGCAAGTTGAAAGAGGCGGGGTTATGGCTAGCGCATTAGTCGTGCGCATGTCCGAAATTTGTTCGTCGTTTGTTTTCGGGACTGAAAATTGTCCTAGTGCCACACACCATCTTCCGGGAGATCTACGACGTTTACGACATTCCTAAACAGAGGACGGCATTGCCGCGGTTCGTGATGCTTTACAAACCAGGTGCCGCCATTTTGGTGTTAAGGAAAGGTGTTTATAGACGCATGTTTAAACGCATGTAATTAGAAGCAACTTGAGTTCTCTGGATTGAGTGGGAAGAACCAGATGTTCAGATGTGAAGCATGTAGCAACAGTTGGCCGAGAGTGGAATTCTTGGAGGGAAAGTAGCCTTTCCTTACTCCTGTATAATAATAATAAAGGTAAAAAGTAAAGTTGTCCCTGTGCTTAACTAATTAAGCCCTACGCCATGGAGGTGTATGGGGGAGTGGATGTATAGATCCCTATTTTCTTGACCTCAGCACTAGCTGGAGGTGAGTGGCCAGCTTCACGCCCCGGCCGCTTTACCACCGGGAAAACAGCCCTCGGTCCCCATTGGATAGGAGGTTGGGTAGACCCCAGAACCGGTCTGGACGACGTGGAGAAGGGAGAATTCATAACCCTACCGGGACTAGAACTCCGACGCCTCCGTCGTCCATAATAATAATAATATAATAATAATAATAATAATAATAATAATAATAATAAAGTTATCCCTGTAACAGGCTTTGGGGGCCCATAGGGTTGTGAGATCGAGGCTCCCGCATTTTCTAGACAGTCGGCTCACAGATGTCGGTACGGTTGTCAGCCTTACGCTGGTCGCCCTTTACCCCCCAGGAAGATTCCTGAGTCGACTCCAGGGCCATACTGCGGCTGGAATGATTAGGTAAACTTAAGAAATCCACCTCATCGGGACTCGAACCCGCGGCCTTCCGGCTTGTAGCATAGTGTCTCAACCAACTGCGCTACTACATACCCCTAATGATAATAATAATAATTTCATGGAGCTGAACCTTTCTTCAGAAGCCGCCAGTTGTGCAGCTGCTTAAGAACTTGCCAGTATTTTATGGAACGCGATGGTTCATTTCCGTGTTCACAAGAGCCCTCCACTGGTTCCCGTCCTCACCCAGATCATTCCAGTTCATACCACCCCATCCTATTTCTCTAACATCCATTTTAATATTATTCACCCACCTACGTCTTGTCTAGTGGTATAATAATAATAATAATAATAATAATAATATATTGTCTAGAATCGAATGATTAAATGGTAATGGATAATGAATTGGGAAGGACGTGGAAGGAGACGGTGGACTGAATTAAGGTACTTTTTCAGCTCATGCCTGAAGGAACTAAGGAAAACCACGAAAAATCATAGATGAAATAGTCTGTGCCCCAGCCGAGATTCTAACCCGTCCCCTCTAAGTTAAAAATCAATAATAATGATATGCGTCCATCTATTTATCTGTCTATCTATCTACGGCTCTACAGCCCTTGTGGACCTTGGCCGCGTACTCAGTTTCTTAATCTATACACAGTCGGTAGGACTCCATGGACGGGGTATCAGCCCGTCGCAAGGCCGATACCTACACACAGAACAACACAAATACAGAATAAGCGTACACAGACATCCATGGCTGGAGTGGAATTCGAACCCATGATCCCTGTGTTCGAGCGGACGAAGATGGTTCATGCCTTGGACCGCTCGACCACTGTGATCGGCAATGATGTGCAACTAGTACAACAAATTATATGTTTAGAATAATATTAATATTGACCTTAGAGGAACAAAATACCGAGCAAATAAGAACCTGATGTTGGTACAAAAGACGCCGTTTGGGGCCGGTGAATTTAATTTGCTCTTGTACAAATCGCGAACCTCTGGAAGCTGCTTTAGGCTTGTATTCTGGAGATGCTTGGTAGTCCGAATTTCTGTCGGGAAACCAGCTTTTCGTAGTCCCGCCAGCATTGCCTCGACTAGGCTACTGCCGTTTCTTCTCACTTGAGCATTCAGCTGCCATCATACTAAGTGTCAGCGCCCTTAAATAAACAACAGAAAGAGAGAATTACGAAACTAGGCTCTTATGTGTTTGGAAACCTTACGACTCTTGACAGATATACCGCCTCTTGTAGACAGTAAATCTAGAAATCGACTCGACAGTGAATGATAATTTTTATTGCAATAATACTAATAACTCTTGTCGCTTGAAATTTTAGTGTTAAGATTGCGTACGAGAAGCATGCCTTTAATTAACATCGCTTGACTTGGTGCCAACGTACGGCTTGGAGGTTTCTGAACTGGCAGAAGGTATAGCGACGGATTGCGGGTTGGACGACCGAGTAATCTGGGTTCTATTTCCGGCAGGGACAACAGATTTTGTCTTCTCCACAGCATCCAGACCAACTCCGGGATCTAGTCGAGCTATAATGGGTACCGTGAGGATGCGGGGAATTCCCTAAAGTGGTCGTAGGCGTAAAGCTGACCACTCACTTCTGTCTAACGCCGAGGTTAAGAATGCATGGAATTATACATAGAGTCACCTATACGCCTTCTGGTCATGATGCTTAATTAAGCACAGGGACAACATTTTCTAGCGTTACGTCGTGCGAAACAGGTTGCCCATCACTCATGTAAAGTGTAAAACGCCTACTGTTATGCATTTGCAAAGTTGGTCCAAAAATACTTGCACATGGTTTATCATATTGTAACGTATTAAGGGGTTGTGCATGACTTACAGACGAGTTTTGGATTGGATGATTGGATTTATTAACACCTTACTTACACAACTCGGGACTACAGGCAGTACAGCGCTGTCGCAATTCTGTACACTTCACGGTTCACTGTTTCACATATACTAAGGTCCTCAGTCTTCACTAGCCGTATCCTGGCAACGAATTTATAACAAATCTCACAGTCACTTCAAATCGCACACGAAGTCTTCTGTTCACAGGCTAATTCCTTTCTTGCCATTATTCTGAAACTTCAATTCCGAAGACTCGACACAGTTAAATTCTTCTGCTTCCAAGCTCATATCCTGGCAGACTGGGGTCTCGAAACTCGACCAATTCTTCTCAAATGAACTCTTCTTTATAACCACTTTGCACGGACCACGCAAAAAACGCAGCCTCTCTATTGTTGGGAAGGCGTGTTTAAAACGTCGCTGCGTAGCAACAGAAGTTACTCGATTGTTGATTTCCTGACAGGAGTGAATGGGAAGACGGCTTTCTGCCCGACAGAAAAGGGGGACTGATCTGGTATACAGATTGTTCCAAGATAAATAAGGCCACTGGAGCTGGTGTATTCTGCTATGGCACGAGGCGGAAACTTAGTTTCAGACTTGGGCAGTACACAACAGTATTCCAGGCAGAAGTATATGCCATTAAGGCATGTATTATGGAGAATCTAGATAGGAACTACAGAAATAGGAACATCTACATTCTATCTGACAGCCAAGCTGCACTTAACGCTCTTGACAAACACCAGATCAACTCAAAATTGGTCTGGGATTGC